AGTACTTCAAGTCCTGTGCAAAAACGTATGATCGCACGGGCCCGTCCGGTGCGTTCCAGCCTGGGTATTAATTTGTTTGAATACAAAAAAGCAAAAATTTGCATAGTTTCTTTTGCGTAGTTAAACTAATGCGTTCAAATGTAGCTGGCTGAGTTGCTTCTAATTATTGCTAGCACGTTTTAAGTTGTTTAAATTTCATCCGGTTGCTTATTTATAGTTTGTTTTAGTTATCGACCTGTTGCTTCGCCCGTTTAATTGCCAACTGCAGTTTTGGCGAAACTCCAAACTACTACAGCCGCCATTAGTATTCTCTAGAGGTGATACACAAAAGTATTGTAAAACTCTAACATCTGCCGTTCCAGATACTGGAATATTTGAGGAAATTTTTTCAGAAGAATTCTGGATCAAAATTCCTTCTCTTATCAATCAGACTTTAGTACAAGCTTTTTGCTACAAATTATGTTTTGCCGGGCCGGATCCCACCGCTTCTCTTGGTGGCATGAAATAGTCCGAAGGAGATTTGTGATGAAGGATTGCACACTCTCAGAGATTCCCGTGAAATTTACACAGAAGTGGCGTGAGCAAAATAGGGAAGAATGGAGAAGTCGCTGGCTGCATCGTTGGCAGTAAAACAGCGACTGTTCGAAAGTCAAACGAAGTAAACGCTCAACAGCGGCAGCCAGAATTTCTTGTCAACATAGCATTTGTATGAAATTTTTATGAACCACATCGGAAAATGCCTCATTAATTATTAAGTACTTTATTAAATCAGCAAAACTTTCAGTGGACCTATTTCATCATGTTAAGATTTCCATCCTTCTTTTTGCCTCGGAGATGTCAGACCTTGGCATCAAACTTTAAAAGAATGAAACTTGAAATTTAAAATCCCGAAAGCAAAGTAACCGTGAAGCAGCACTGCCACTGTCCGTGAAAAAGACTTTGTTGTGTCCATCGGTAGAAACTCGATTTTTGAGCTGAGGGCGAAACAACCAATTTTTCTAGCGGCAAGAGGGATAATGTGGTGAATAAAGGTAAAAAACAACAATTTAAAATAATATTCTGCTTTTTCTCTCTTGAACATTACCTGCTGGAAAAAGAGAGACTGTAATATCTTTAGGTTTGAAATCCTGCGTCATTTCATCTGCTATAGCTGTCTCCGTCAACAATGAATCCACCAGGCTCTTCTCATCCAGAATCTCGCGGAACTCACCTTCCGAGCTTAGATGTCGCTCTTACTTCATTTAACGAATCAGTCAAACGCATGTTCGAAAACTTATATAACTGCCTGGCGCAGCAGTACCATCAGTACGCACCAGGAGGAACGAGTGCGCATATTCCGACAACAAGCGAAGGCATTTCTGGGACTTCAATTGGTCATGTACGTCTTTTCCAAAGACTCATTTTGAGTTCTAGATGCCTGATCGTTGATGTATTAATTTGACTAAGACGCTAAACATGATTATGGCAGCACTCCAGGGAAAAAGTAGGGCTCCGAGATTTACTCGTTTCCTTTCTGTAGTGGAAAGGGAAATTAATAATGAATCTTTGCAACGTATCGCAAGCAAATGAGCCGAGGTAGCTGCAGAAAATTCTGAATGGAATGGAATAATGTTTAAAACTGAGATATTTTGATCAGTTGTTATTTCATCGCTACGCCCATTTTTTTTCATAATTGCTAATAACTTCGCTACTCCTGCTTTTTTTGGCTATCCTTATCCAAACAGTTTAGCATGGCCATCCTTTGAGGTGTCAAAAGAACTCAAAAATGAAATAAACGAGAAAAATCTGGCTACTCCGGTACTCGGTATTTGGCTGAAGCACTAAATTACAAAAAACAAGGATAAAAGCCTGGCATTATTTCACTAAACCTTAAAAGCATTAAGCGCAACTTAGCTGGCCTTAGAATAGAACGTTGTATGAGCCTTGATCGGCATTTTGGTGAGTAAAAATTCCAGAATTGTTATTGTTTCCTTTGAATTTGCCCAAACCCACTAACACTGCAATCCAGGAATGCACAATATAATTTTCCAAGTTACAGGGCAGCAATGAATAGTTAAGAAGAGGCTGTGGGATTTTCAGTACTGAAAACTTTATTCTCTTTTGCCCTCTTCCTTCTGCCGCCATTTTTTTTTCCTCTGCGTGTTTCTTTCCTTCATTTAACTTAATTCACTGCATTCAAGATTCTCAACAGAACATTTTCAAAAGTGCGCGGCCTTAAGAGTAGCATGCGCAGGAATTCAAATTATGTATAATTTTCAGAAAAGTCGATCAATAACCAGGACAATCCTTTTTTCTCTCTTTAAAAATTTATTTTCTATTAAGCAATTGCTACTCTTCAAATAAAATCTCTAGAGCGTCTAAATTTAAAAAAAAGACAATTTTCATGCTGTGGAAATTTGGAGGTAATGTAGTAATAGGGGCTGAACTGTTCTTCAACACTAAGCTCCTTAGCATTGGGTGTGGTATTAGAGAGAATCTGAACGTGCACATTCAAGGTAATAAACAACGCCGGAGAATTCACGGTAAATGTAAACGTTGCACAGTTCCGTCCGGACGATCTGAAAGTGAGCTTGGAGCAGGACCGGCTTATCATTGAAGGACATCAGAAGCAGCAGCAGGACCAGCATGGTACCATCGAAAGGCATTTCATCCGTCGTTGCACTCTGCCCGGTGATGTAGACAACAGTACACTGACGTCGCGTCTAAGTGGTACTGATTTTCTGTATTTTATTTGGCGCAACTGAGCTTAGAAAATCGAAGAGTGCAACGGGGAAGGGATAGGAACTCAGGCTTCTTCCAAATAGTATACACTAAAATTTTTTAGATTTCAAATAATATCGTTTAGGCTACCTGCAGAGTTCATAGACACGTGCAAAATTCCCGTAAGATTTTTCTCAAATATTTACGGTTCGTGATTCAGCATTCATCCCTATTCCTTGCTCTGCAAGGCGATTGCTTGGTCTTTTCACAGTTTTCCGCCAATCCGCTTGCAACAGAACGTAGAGCTCTCCTAAAAGTGTTAGCGGTATTTTTCGCCGAATGAGGAGCACAGCCACGCTGCCATTAAAACTTTCAAATACTCAGCCATATTATTCAAAGCAGTTTGCGGCGCAATACAAAAATATCGCTGCTTTTGTGCAGAAGAACGAAATTCCGATTCCACCAGTGAGATCATCAACTCCCCTACAAATCGCTCATCCATTCTGATGATAAATAGGTTGCTAGGTGCATGCTAGGGAATGAAACCTGGCATCAGCATGCTTGCAAATGACGCCGTCGGCAACGTTACCAGCGGTTGGTTGGTTCTGGCACTTGTCACACCCGAATGTCCGCGTTTCGGGCAGAGCGAACACGAAAAGGGCTTTTGACTTGAGTGCTATGTTTTTACTAAAGATGCATTTTTACAGTTTTGTAAAAATGCCACACATTCAGATTAAAGCACGACAAACACTCCCACATTAGAAATTAGCCGTTCCCACAAAAACACACAGACATTGTACAGAAAAATGCCACTGGCACGACGGAAAAATTTAACTGCTCCTATGAGCATTTGTTCAAGTTCTCTCAACACTTGCATTTATTCGTATGGAAAATGCTGGAAATGTTATTTTTCCGAAAAATTTTAGCTCCGCTACCTTTTTCTGCTCGATTTTAAGTACCTGTT